TCGCCGCCTTCAGCGGAGAATACTCCGGCTGGCCGCCGTGGGCAGCCGCCGGCTCCCCGGCGCTCGGGGCGGGTCCCGGCAGCGCCGGAGCTGGGAACTCCGCCTGGCTCGGTAAGCCGGCGGAAGGTGCTGTGGCGGGGACTTGGGCCAAAGCTGGAGAGGCTCCGACGGGGCTGTCGCATACGCCCGCTTGTAGGGGAAGCTGCTGACCAGCTAAGGCGCCAGGCAGATCCGTCACCGCGGAGCTCGCTTGCTGATCGTCCGACTGCTCCAGGTCTAGAAGGAACGCAAACATCGGGTTGACTTTTTCAGGAGCCGCACAGAACGAAGGAAGGTCACTGCAAAACCTCCTGGCTAGCTGCAGCGACAATCACATCTACCCGTAACACGTTAGTGCCGCCGGTCAGAAAACAACCGTTATACAAGTCAAATTAGAATCCAAAATTGCAGGTTGTGCAAAAATATTTCACTGAAAAGACACTGCTTATTAAAACATCAGTGACTAGAACTTCGGCTACCTTACAGTGTAAGGCAGAGTTAAAATACTGAGACTGTCCTGAAACTCAAATAAACATTCCTACTTTGGTTCTATACCAGGAACATACTTAAGATGCGTGACTTAACAAAATTCATCATTTTCTTCCTCCAACTAAATGAAGCGAAACAATCACAGCTAAGTCAGGCAAGAATAGAAGAGAGGTGACACGGCAGCTTCAGAGAAGAAAACACGTTCTATAAAGTTTGTAAATACCTGGCCCTTCAGACTGCTGTGTACTCTGAGGTACGGGTGGAGAAAATTCTGGTGCATCGGTAGTGGGGTTTTCCACAACAGGACATATAATAAACCACCTTTTTCCAGTATGCAAAACTAGAGATGAAAAGGAAATAAAAAGTAAACACAAAAGTTTCCATTCATTCCAGATCATCTCTCAAAACATAGTCTTAATTTCCATGTTTAGAAAGAAAATTAGAACTTCTGCAGTACTAGCCAAGATTAAATCAATGGCTCCTAATCTGATTCTCATCCCTTCTGGAAGGGAGACAGTGATGCCTCCCGATTCTGCCGTGTATTTCAAGTTATTTGAAAATTTATTTTCAAGGGTTCATACTTTTAGAGGGGTAATAGTTACATACATGAAAATTTTATTAACCATACTCTGGACAGTTTTCTCACAATGAAAAATTCGTTAATTTTGTAAAGTTAATCCAGCTTAACTTTTTGTCCTGGTTTCAGCTGGGATAGAGTTAACTTTCTTTCCAGTAGCTTACCAGCTGGTATAGTGTTATGTCTTGGATTTAGTATGAGAAGAATGTTGATAACACACTGATGTTTTCAGTTGTTGATAAGTAGTGTTTATACCAATTCAAGGATTTTTCAGCTTCTGATGCCCAGCCAGCAAGAAGGCTGGAGGGGCACAAGGAGTTGGGAGGGGACACAGCCAGGGCAGCTGACCCAAACTGGCCAAAGGGGTATTTCCATACTGTGTGACGTCATGCCCAGTATATAAACTGGGGGGAAGTTGGCTGGCGGGGGCGGATTGCTACTCGGGAACTAACTGTGCATCGGTCAGCGAGTGATGAGCAATTGTATTGTGCATCACTTGTTTTGTATATTCCAATCCTTTTTTTCTTATTGTCATTTAATTGTTGTTGTTGTTATCATTATTAGTTTCTTCCTTTCTGTTCTACTAAACTGTTCTTACCTCAAGCCACAAGTGCTACCTTTTTTTTTTCCACGATTCTCTCCCCCATCCCACTGGGTGGGGGGAGTGAGTGAGCAGCTGCGTGGTGCTTAGTTACTGGCTGGGGTTCAACCACAACGCTCTTCCAGTTACCTGCTGGGGTTAAACTCTGACACTCTTCCATGTTGGAAGTTTTCTAGCTAATATTTCCTTCCACATCTTATCTCAAAGCTTGGCACATGTAAATGGCAAACCAGAACTATACAGACTCTGTAAGTTTCATTAGTAGAAATACAGTTGTTATGTTAAAAAAGGTGTACTGAGAAAATTTTATGATGTTTACAGGCCAAAAAATAAACCAGATTTTTTGAGCAGAAAGTCTAGTTTGAAGGATTCCCAGTTTCTGCAGTTGTCAAAGAAGTTCTAAATTATCCTTCTTCCCCTGTCAGCATCGAGCAAATACACAGCGCCACATGCAGTAACAAGAATTTTGGAAATGATGCTTCCTTCAGCAGAGGTTTCATTTTTCCCACCATCACACACTTACAGAGAGAATCAAGGCCAGTTGCCTTCCCATTCAGTTTGTCTGTAAAACTCATAAGACACGATTGTGTTCACAAGGCCAAGATCCCTCCCGTAATACCAAAGTAGCTGAAAACTTATGGCTTAGAAATTTCAGCTAAATTACCAATGCAAACATAACCTTTTAGCTTTCTCTTGCAAACATAGTTATTGTTGTGAAAAGAGTACGCTTGCCCGTACCTTCTTGACTTTTCCACCACTGATTATCAACTTGTGTAACACAGGGCTTCCCTAAACATCCCCGGATGTTAGATTCATCCAGGTTAGCCCTGCGATCTTCCAGGTTGCTAACAGCAGGGACCACTGTTATATTTCTAGATTATTTCCAAACACCAGTAACCAGTGCATTTCTTCCTGAATCTAGCAAACTTCTGCATAAACTCATCACTGCCTTAAAGCTTGAGATTAAGTTTGTATTCAAAGGCACATTTACCATTTTGTTGATACACGGGTGTCTTCATTTGAGACTGCCGCTTCTCCTGTTAAAAAAAAAAAACACAAACAACAACAAAAAAATAGAAGAACAAACTTCCTCATATCAATGCAAGAGAAGCATCATTCCAAGGAGCACTCATATCCTAAACCTTAATGGAGTAAAAGCATTATTTTTCTAGCTAAGAAACTTTTGGGTTTTTTAACACGGGATGTAAAACTAATTTACAGTAACTGGCTCTTAACATTTCTTACCTCGTTCATTTCCAGTCTATTGGTATCTTGCTGGGGACTCGTTCCCTGATCAGAACTTCGTTCTCCTTCTGTATCTTCACTGAGCATATCTTCTGCTTTATCAATAATATCTTTCATTTGTTCAATAAATGTCTCTTTTTCACTCTGCAATATGAATTCATTCTCTACCTACAAGGCCACATCAAAATAAAGAGGAAAACAGTAATGTTTAGATTAATGCCTTGTTCCACAGCTACCAGAAAGCTCAGGGAACAAGCACATGCGAGAATAAGTTGGCTGAAGCAACTTGGTGCATTAGGAGATGGCAGGCAGCTGCATCACCAAGTCTTACCATGTAGGTAGCAATTTCCTCTGGTGCATCACCATCCAAATCAAACTTAAAAGTCACCATTTTGTGATTGTGTGTTTCAAGCTGGCACTCCACCATTTTATCACCCGTGTTACAAACCTGCAGGCAAAGATTAACAACAGTTATTTGTGGCAAAGCCAAAGGAATCCTGAAGTTACCTTCAAAGAGGTTGCACTTGCATTTAATATGGTCAGTTTTGGTCTGCTGGACTTCTCCTGGCGTGAACGAGCGCGTGTAGATTTCTTATGTTTCTTCGAAGACTTTCCTTCTTGTTTTCCACTTCCTATTGCTCCTTCAAAGCTGTCACTCATCTCTTTACCTGAAGCAACATCTGGACTCATGTAGCTTTGTAATAGAAAGGAAGAAAAACCACAAAATAAAACCACCGTCACACACGATGGCATTATGCATAGGTAAGATACACAACAACAGAGACTGCAAAAAGAAGTGCACATCTGCACTCTTTTGGCCCAAACTGAGCCAGCTACTGAAAGATGCTCAGTAAGTAAAGGGAACTACTCCAAGTCAGGCATGTACTCTGGCTACCACATCTACCAAGAAATGATCTGTTAACATTTCTGCCAATACCACAGGGGAAGTCCCATCACTCTTAATATATCACTACATCCCCCTAATCCCTTCACTTCAGGGATCTGTACAGTCCCTCCCTGAACTGCACAAGTTCCTGACTTTCTAAGGTCCAGTTTTCTCAACTCCTGCCTGTCTGCACTCACAGCAGAAGGTCTAAACAGGGTCAGTTTGTGTTTGTTGGAGATGAAGGAAAAGAGTGAGAAGTCGGTACAGTATCCCATAAGAGCCTGCCTCTCCTCTCCCTGCAGTTCTCAAGGATCAGAAAGAAGGTTTTATGCCACAATATCCCAGATGACCAGCCAGCAACAGTGTATTATTTTTAGCAGCCAAAACAGAAGCTGCTAACAACCTTATTGTAATATGACATGTACAGAAAACTTCAACATGCAAGTAATTTGCAGGAAATTTTCAGAGGTTCATAAAAACCATGTCAGGAAGGAACCTTGTAAGCCCATCTGGCCTATTTATTACCCCAAGGTATGATCAGCTCTGTGTAAACCAGTCTTCACAGAGGTTTATGTAAGCTGATCTTACAAAGCTCCCGTGAGATTTCATAAGCTTCCTGGACAATTTATTCCCGTGTTCATTTAGCCACACAGGCATAAAAGAATTTAAGTCTAACTTATGGATCCCTTTCTTAAATTTAAGGCTTTTACTTCTTGTTCTGCACTACTTGCACAGAACAGCTTATTTCTACTCCCTTTGCAGCTACCTTGTATGTGCAACTCATAAAGTGAACACATTTTGCACACAGGCTATACGCTAGATCACGTTTTTGCTGCAACTGCCAGCCATTTGATTCTCATGCCATTACCCTCCGCTCTACTAAACCACAACCCAGCTCCAGCACTGAGTTACCTATAGATCTCCCTCTACGACTACAAGATGGGTGCTGACACAGGCTCTCCGTGCTGCTGCAGTCACGTCAGCTTTTCAAACACAATTGTGGAACAGGCAAATTAGAATTCAAAAGATGACTGAAAATTTGGTGTGCCTTTCTACAACAGACTAGATAGACAAAATGAAGTCATTTTGTCTAACTTATTTATAGCCAGAACTAACTTATGGTCACAAAAAATTAGATTTCACTTTCCACACGGTATTTAAAAGCAGCAAGTTCTTGGGAAAAAAGGTTCCATTTTAAGGTTGCAGGGTTGCATTGACTTCTGTCAGGCTAACTTTTTTGGTGGGGTAGAAAGAAAACAGTAAGAGAGAGGTGTCTTCAAAGTTCATGAACTTAACTCATCCTGTCTGTTCAGGAAAATAGAAAAGGGTCACTAAAATCCTAACACCAAAGCTTTATAAACAATAAGGACAAAGTCGGTGCTGGCTCCTGCAACAGGCAAGGCATTCAGCTGCTTATGAACGCACACTGTTCATATCTACCTTATCCATACCCAACCACTGAAAAATCTGGCTTACTGCTGGGGCTGAAGCAGGAGCTGTAGCATGGGAGCAGCAGGTGGCTGGGGAGGGCAGTCCTGCCCCTGAAGCAGCAGCCGCTGCCCCCGGTCAGCCCCTCTCCAGCCCAGCAGCGAGCCTTCCTCTCCAGGACTCCTCCTCACTGCTTCCACCAAACCCTGCTGCTTCCCCTTCTCCTTCTGACTACAGAAACAGGCAGACAAGGGCTGGCAAAAACTGAAACTTGCTTCTGTTTCTGAGGAGTGCTGAGCTGGCTCTGGGAGTTATTTATCGTTACTTCCGTCAGCACGGCTAGGCTCGAGTGTGAGCTCGTGTACTGCAAAACCACAGAACAGGCTTTGGCCGCGTGTTCTGACACTTGTTGTAATGATACTTTTGAGTGGCTCAACACACAACTCTCACCGATACACCGTTCCCCGTAACGTACCTGGGGAAAGATGATTACAGGTGATACAGGCATACCCTTGCTATTCCCAAAGAGGGAATAAACTATATACCCAGTTATACTAGCGTAGCATGTTTTCATACAAATTCAACAGCATCAAAACCAGGGACTGTACCGCTTCAGTTATCTCAAAGAGAGAAGTTACACGCTGAAATGAAAGCTGTTGTACATACAGCAAGGCTAGGATGCAGCACCCAAACTGAAGAATTAAAAGAGTCGGGGGACCCAAAATAGGCACACTGCGCACAGAACGTTTGCAGCTTTCTCCCTAGACGTGCACCCTTTCATCTTCTGGTCAGCTCCTGCTACTCTTCTCTCAGCCAAGGCAAAGGCCAGGCATTTGGCCCAGCCTTGTAAAGAGAGAGAGGAAAAACAGCCTCCAGAAAGAAAACATTTCTTATGCCAAAGAGATTATAATGATACCTTTCACAGCTCTGTGACAGAGTTTGAAGTTTGTCCTGTATTGCCTGCTCCTAAAATGTAAGAAAAAGTCATTTAAGTAAATGCATTTTATTGGCAGATGAAAAACACCTTTAAGAAAGGCTTTGCTGTTGAGACACCAGTAAACCTAAACCATTCTGTTCAACCAGTTCTTGGAATTCGATAAAAAATAAATGTCCCATTTTACCCTCCCAACATTACTTCTGTCCAAAGCATCAGTATCTGTGCACAACCACTTTTTAAGACAGAGCCACTGATCTGCTAGTTCCCTTCCGCTGTCTCTAAAGCAGAGGAGGTGCTGAAAGAAACAAAACAGTTCTCACCGCAATGGAAAAACTTGATTGCAGGACAAATCCACATCAGCACCTACCTAATTTTATTTATGAATGGATATAAAGTATAAGCTATTTTGCTTCATTGCTTGGTTTAGTTTCCTGAAGTATCTTAAGTATTTTCATTCTATTTGGCTTATCGTAAAAATTTCTGGGGAACTTACAAATAAAAGACGAAAATTCATCATTTAAAACCACCGCCCTCACACCATGTCCTCTTGCTCTCTACACAATAGAAATTTTCCCTATAATCTTCCCTCTTCCCTGGTTGCAATGCTAGGACAGACATTGACAGCGTGACTTTTGCATCAGGTAGACCTGTTTTCACAGAATTTGTGATGATGGTGCTACTGGCCCTACCATAACAAACTTACTATATATGTACACAGACACACACACCTGTGCATGTACATAACCATATATGTATGTACACACACCCCAAATATATTCATAAGTATATATAATTTTATATAAATTTATAGATATATTTGCAACCATATGTCTATAAAATCCTTCTGTAGACACACAGCTAGAAACAAGCCCCTTGACTGTCATCACTACATCTTAATACCAAAGCAGTTGGTAGACTGGAGTTAAAAGCTTAGCGGTTAACCAGTCAACCCCACTCGCTGCTTATAATGCCACACATATGCCATGCCAAGCTTGACTGCAGTTTCAATAAAACTGCAAAATTAATGAACAGTGAGAACACAGACATAATGTATCTAAAATTTAGTAATCCACTTGATCAAGTGCCTTACAAAATCTCATTTGCCTGATCAATTCAGATTGGTTTGGATGTGAGTACTGCCACACATTTAAACAAAAGAGAAAAGATAAAAACATTATGGCAGAGTGGCAACGAAATGCAGTGTTTCAAATATATACAGCTATGAAACTCCTCTTACACCCAAGAAAACCTTAGCAATATATGTCATAAAATCAGCATGGGGAGCACGTTGATGAATTTGACTATCCTATGATATTGGATTGTTTCCTTAAATTGAAAGAGAGAAGGGAGTTAACTTATGGATGGAATATGAGAATGAAGTCAGCAAAACAGTGGTTAAATGTTCCTAGGGAAATGATGAAGTGATAGGACAGACATATGCCTCAGTGGGCTTGGATTTCTCAGGTAATATAGGATAACTTGTAGCTCCCATATCACACTGCACAGTAACAAGGTTTATTCATATTTCGAGAATCTCTAATGGGATGGACCCTGCATTGAAGGCTGTAGTTTTGGCATCAGCATTGAACCTGACATGAGCTGTGCATACAGAAAAAAAGGCAGCTGGAGAAGAAATACCCTGAGTAAGGGTTACGCCTGACCCAGCCAGGCTTTACGTGGGGATTCTGCAAGTGAAGCACTATAGACAGGTTCTACCATTTCTGCTATACCTAACCCACAGGATACAGAAATTCACCAGGAAACATTCTGCCTCACAGCACGAATATTTATTTGACAAGAATTAGGCTGCCATTAGAAGGACCGGCAAAAGGGGGAACTAGAATCTAGTTTTAGTGTTAGCAGCATCCTTACTGAACACGTTCTGGAAGAGGAGTTAAGCTGTACCTCTAATGAAATTCGTAGGCTGCACTGCGCAGTCAAGGCATGCGGCAAGGGCATGAAAGCATGGGTAAAAACAGAAGAGATTTAGTTTGAAAAGATGGACACTGTTACTTTGGGAGGAAAGGTAGCTCAGAACAGAGAGCCTCAAGAGGAGCAATTCTGAAAGCACAATTGCTGAGGGACATTTCCATTCAGAAGTGGCAAACAAATCAGGCTTATTTACTGAAATCCAGTACAAATGCCAAAACCTTTGTTTTGCTTTGCGTATGGATATCTGTTGAAGAGTTGAAGGGAGGGAAATGTTCTGTGACATTCTGTCAAGACTGAAGGTTACACAATTATGGGAGTGGAAAGAAAAGTCAAAACAGCAGACAGGAGGAGCTGACAGTTTGATAAAGTAAAACAATAAAATGTATCTTGCTTATATGACCACTGAAAGTTGGGAATGCCTACGAATATTTGAAGAAACAAAAATCCCAGGGCTAGACTAGAATTCAGGTAATGCAGGAGGATACAACGCTAAATGAAATGGGAATAAGGCTCAAACTGAGGAGCACAAAGAGCTTCTACATAGTGAAGAATCAGATTATGAAGCAGTTTCTTAAGGCAGATGATGACTGGTTGCACAAGTGCTTGAGACATTTAAAACAAGACTGGACAAAACATGGATGAAACTCTACAGAACAGCTTCTTACACCCCCCTCCCCACCGCCGCCCCAGGACTTAAAGTAATTTCTATCTCTCTGTTTGCACTCAGCTATGGACAAAGAGGTACTTAGTCCTGCTGCCTCATTCCTTCAGGGAGACATTTCACACGGTACAACATGCAGTTTCCAGCTTCATTTGAAATAGCCCATTATTTGCTGACCCAGCGTCGCCAGCATCTTGGACAAGCGGCTCTATATGGTGAGAGGGGATAATCTCCCTTGTGAAATAAGCCCACTATTTCACCAAGGAGTAAGTAAGAAGGTTAAGGTGAGGCTGGTGAGTTACTTCAGAGGAAACGTCTCTACCTCTTGAGATGTCTCTGCGACTGCCTGGACGGCTGAGCAGGGAGCTGGGAGCTGCTGACCCAGCGGCTGGGAAAGATCGGGCTGAAGCTGCAGCAGAGCAGAAGGCTGAAGAGGCAGACCGTGATCTATGGGGACAGGCGGACTAGCGGTAGCAAGGCTGCCATGAATCTGTGAAATGCCTTCTGGAGCGACGCGGGGAGGCAACAGTTCAGGCTGCAACTGCAAAGGCGGTGACATGACTATTGAAGGTTGCACAGGCAGCACGGGCACCTGGGCTCCAGCTTCCAAAGCATACTGAGTGTGTCCAGTAATCTGCTGTAACACAACAGACAGCTATTAAAACAAATCTCTGCTTAGAGTGCTTGTGACTTACATGACAAGGTACTAAAGCCACCGGAGTTCACAGAGAAAGGATTATAATTCTGCAGTGAGACTATTTGTGTGGTCTCTGCTTGGAAAGGTTACTCAATGAGTTTAAACTTGCTTTGAAACAACCAAATAAAAAATCTAAGGGTTCTTCATATATAATTATGACAATGTGCGTATTGCTTAAGCACTATTTAATTTGTAGAAACAAAGACGTATTCTGCCAAGAAATTAAAATCTTCGATTATGAATTCATTGTCCTGAATAATTTACTCTGTCTTCAACAAGCCTACCACAACGTCCATGCAGAGAAAAATATACTCCACCCATAATCTAAATCAGGATTTTTAAAAAAATCCTCTATATATGTAGAATCGGTAGCTGGTATAGACCACACAGTTAACTCTTTTTTACTGAATACATACCAGTGTCTTACGGAACACACTGTTTTCCGTTTAGTTTAAACATTTAAGACACAGCTTAACTCTTGACATGCTAAGCACCAAGGCCACAATCCTGCCAACGCTTCCTTGTGTTACACACACAGAGGAAGTTTCATCTATCTCAGTGGATTTCTCCAGTGCATTAAAATAACTCCTGTGCGTAAGCGCTTTGTGGGTGGGAACTGGACCGATGCGATTAGATGCCAACTACCTTAGAAACTATGTTGTTATTCTGCATAACAGTTCTTTTGAGTTGTACATTTAAGAACAGAACATTCTCCTTTTAGGTACATTATGTATTTTTCCAAGGGGACGGAGCTTGTAGGAAGAGGAAAAAGAAAAGAAAGGAAAATATGGAAGAAAAAAGGCTTTTTAGTACCAGGTATAACTCTGCCTAATTTTTACTTTTTTTTGAAGTATCACCACCTAGAGATTTAGACTATTTGGAGATTAAAAAAAAAATAAAAAAAAATCAAGACTCAGACAAGAACTAGGCCACACAATTTCGTTACTGCATGCTCTCTGCAGATTCTGGATATGAGCTGAAATTATTATTCCGGGTTCTAATGTGGATAAAAATAAGGACGCAATGTGCTTTCCAACACATAATGGTTACAAGACTGCCTAAGTGGAGATTGTTAGAATAGCAACTGCGGTGCACATTGCAGAAGAGCAGCGAATTTTTAAAAAAAAAAAATCTTATATAACTAGAAAAATTCACAAAATGTTTCAATGTATAATTTACCTGGGCAAAACTGAACTCAAGAGGTGCTAAACATCACCTGCCAAAAATGCACAGCACTGGAAAGCCTTTATTTACAGAAATACCTCTCCATTGAACGTACTTTAAAACACAGAACAATGTCTCTGCACTTGTCCATCTCGTTTGTAATAGCTATTTTTTTATCCTAAAAATATTACTGTGCAATTCTTCCACACCTGTTTGATAGATAATCACTGTGTCAGGGCGGTTTGGGATTATCATCAGTTCTCCAGTTTTGGTGTTTGCCATGCTTGCTGTGCGTAATGAGCCTGATGCAATTCCCTCTAAAGCCATTGGAAACATTATGGCTAATGAGCTCAGCGGTAACTGTCTCGGGCTCCGTGTTGCCTACATTTTCACAAACTGTATTTCTGTACCAGAAATACGGCTGAAGAGAGAAATTTTAAAATGATGTACTGCTTTGAAGATGCCATGATACGGCAGGTTGAAATGGGATGTTATGAATTTTAATCAATATGTTACAGCAAAGTGATATAGTAGAACACAGATTTTCAAGAATGCTATTATTAACAGATTTAGCACGCTCTCCTGCTTGGGTCAGGATGCATTTCATGTTGTCATATCACGGATGTGGCAATAGAAGTATTTACAGACTCTGTCAACAAGTCCTGAACCAGTTCTCTTGTAAATACTGCTAATATTGGAAGCTCCATTGTATGCTTCATTTCTTTTAAGGGGGAAAGGGTCGGCAGCTAGAATCCGTTCTTGTCTGATAGACCTCTTCCACACAGTTTTCTGGAGTCATTATCGAACGGCCATTTCCCTTTACTGTTTTAAAGCAGTTCTACATCAAAACAACTCTATCACTCCTACCAGCTCACCCATATTTTGCCACGAGCGTACAACAGCCTACGCGTCGTGCGCAGCCTGGCGCGAAGGCACCAGCGAGGCTGGGCGGCTGCCGGCTCTCCTGCCGCAGCGGAACGACAGCTCACGCTTCCTTCGTATTTGAGACGGGAGAAGGAAGAGGGAATTCAAGAAGCGCTCTTGTCAGCTCGCTTCCCAAAGCCCCTTAGCTTATTCCCTATATCCTTGATATCCACCTGTCCCTGGATTAAGACCTCACCCGCTCCACCTGACCTCACAGCTCCAGCAACCACCTCCAGGACCGAGGACAAGAAGTTAACAAAACGTCCTAAGAGCAAGGTCAAGAAAACCTCCCTGCTGTGTGTCTACACCGGAGCGAGCCCCGGGAACGCCTGCGTTCGGGAACCACCCTCCGGTCCAGCAGCGACCGGCCCCGCGCCCGGTGGGTTGATTACCTGGTGGCCAGCCCCAGGCGCGGCCAGAGTCTGTTCTGGAGGATGAATTACGCTTGGCTGAAGCGACTGAGGAGGAGGAGGAGGAGGCTGCTGCGGCTGGGACACTGCTTGCGTGCTCTGCGCGTGATGGGGAGAGGGCGCTTCGCTCTGAATGATCTGCTGGAAGGTGGTCTGGTACATCTGCTGCTGGGGGAGCTGGGGCACCCCGTGATGCGGTGGCAACGCTGGCACTCCCGGCGGAGCCACGGCAAGCAGCGGTATCGTAGCAGCCGACATATTTGGCACTATCGTTTGGCAGGGCAAGACCAAAGAAGCCACGGTGGTATGAGGAAGATTGACTGCCTGCATGGGGAGGGCAGGGGAGTTTGGTGCCATAGGCAGAGTGGGGTTCATGGGGAGGCTGGGTAAAATCACGGCTGGAGCAAAATACTGAGAAGGAGCAGGTATGGGGGGCACGTTTGCAGCAGGCATATCAGAGAGGTTTGGAGGAAGGCTGTCAAGTCCTGCCAGAGGAGTAATTGCAGGAATGACAGGAAACTGAGGAATCTGAAAAAAATATAATATCACATAAATTGCAAGTGCTTTCACTGATGGTACAAAGTAGTTTCATTTGCCATACAAGTACGTAGAAATCACCTGCGCCATGATGATAATTATGTCTGTTTGTTAATCACTTCCATTCATTTCCTGAGGTTTATAAACAGCAATAAACTCTGATTTACGCTTAAATCATTAGTAAAAGAAAAAAATTTCCTTTCGGGGGGGACGTCTTCATACCTTAGAAGCTTAGGACTATTTCTAACGCTAGCTTGAAGCCCTCAAGCAACATACTAATTAAAAGTTGCTTTCATTTTAACAGAAATGAAAAGGAATTGGACCAGGCAAAATGCAAAACTCTGTCATGCAAAATTCGGTAAGACAATTTAAAACCCTTGTCTCTAAACAGGCTGGCTGCAACCCAGGCAGCACGGAAGATCCCATAAAAGGGTTTTTGCAATCAAAACTCCCAGTGACATAGCAGACCGTAACTACCCTTTCATCGTGGAAGCAGCTTGCTTCTTCCCTTCGGCGCAAGCTGCTTCACATCACGGTGGCTGTCACTAGCAAACATGCTAACAGCACCAACAAACCCTTCCAGGCCAAGGAAAGGGTCCGTCCCTGGTACTGAAAACAGAAACAGGGCTGAGAGCTAGGGAGGGGGGGCGGGAGGGGGGTGGGGAAAGTGGTGAAGTCAGGAGCTCAGAAAAAGAAAAAAAATGGGCAACTTCTCATGCTCTTAAGCCAGGGATGGGGAAGAGAGTATGCCAGAGGGGAAGGTGCAAAAAAACCCCAAACCCCAAAAAACAACAACAACAAAAAAGCAGAAATGCAGTTATTGCAATTTTGTAACTGCCATTAACTGGATTCTCTAGGCATGACACAGGATTACTCACAAAGGAGATTTTTGCTTCACCAAAGACAAATAGTAAAGAAATATACAGGAATTAGGAAAAAGCTATACTCTTATGGACTAATTAAATCAGCATGCATTCAAAATAGCCACACAAAAACTGCAAATCATGTTAATTATTAGCTGGAAAGCTTTACTCAAAGTGATGTATTCACACAGTTTTCAAAGATATTACCTGGGAGGGGGCCACCGGTGGAAGCTGTGGCACAGCTGAAATCTGAAGGGGTTTTAGTGGTGTACTGCTAGCTGCCACCTGAGAGGTCTGGGGTTGATACTGGGGTAACAGATGGGTTGCAGGCTGGATTGGGCAAACGGGCTGGCTGGCAAGCACCTGCTGCAGAGAAGCTTGCTGGGATATGGGTTGCTGCTAGGAAAGAAAAGAAGAATAAAAAATGTTATAGCCTGAATATTACGAAAGAACCAGTTCACTGGACGCAGCCACCTGCTACTCTCTCCAGTTCAAGCCACACAGTTGGAACAGAACTGCCACTCGGAGTAGGGACGGTTTATAGAAGAGAAGGGCGCTCCTAATTTAAACACTGTACAAGAGCCTATGTTTAAAACACATTTAAATGCAAGATACATTACCTGAAAAGACAAGTTCTAACTGTCTTGGAAAGGTTATTTGTAATGACTCAGACTCTTTAAATCCCAGAGATTGTTCTAGTTGGCCCTGTAAAATCCCCACCTACTAACTTCAAAGATTCCTACTATGCAGATTATACCCAGCTAATCTTGGCATTCAAAAGCTGACTACATAATGTAGCAGACATTGAAATATACAACACTTATTATCTGAGACATGAATAAAACACAATAATTATAGTAAAAGCTGGATCCCAGTTATTTCTGAGGTGCTGTAGTAACAATGTGGCAGCCAAAAAAGCAGGTTTACCCTTCCAGGGAAAACAGTGCTCCACTGGCCTGCCAGATTTTATACAGTAGAACAGAAATAAAAAGCTGCATTAAAGCTGAAAAGAATCAGTAACAAACTTTCACATTTTCCATGCTAGCGGGTACCTCCTTCTTCAGTCCCTCTAATTAATGCTGAAAGTACTTTAAAAAACATCTTCTATTTCAGAAGCATGGCACTGAGGCACCGGCTTGGCTCTGGATTGACCACCTTGGGACGACAAGACTGATTGCTTCACCTGGGCTCTGCAGCCCATAGAACCTAACACCACGCCTGATGGTCAAAAGGTAACTTTAAAATGAACAGCCAAGCATTTTTATCTTTCATCTTCGCCACTTCCACCATAAATCAGCATCAGAATATTTTGCTCTGCGCTTTTTTAGTGGCAGGATTCTTCAACCAGTTTTTGGGTATTAATACAATAAAACTGTAGAGGATGCATCAAGGAAGCAAGATGCCATGCACCCTTAAACAGCTAGAACTCAACCACGACTGGTAAGTTTCCAATACAAGCATCGGTGAACAAAAGAGCATTTGGCGGCTGGTATGGAGTGTCTGGGGCTGAAGGCACGGAATGCCACATGCAGTGCAAGACGTGCTGGAGACGGCACTGAGGAACTCTGCACAGCACCAGCTCAGCTCCTGCAGCATTTATCAATCCTGCCTCTGTATTCAGCTTGCCACATTCAAGAAAAAAAACCAATGACATGGCTCTGTATTGCAGTTTCTGCCATTCCAGCTTTTGGGAAAGCAGGGGCGTTCACCCAATTAAAATCCCAAACTCAAGGGAACGGCAGCGCCGATGCAAACAAGGGCTCAGCAGGAGCTGGGCTGGTACTGCTGCGGAGACAGAGCACACCAGCGAGATGGGGGGACGGACCCCACTCGTCCCACAGCGTGAGCTCTGCAACACGGGAAGTTCCTGCCTGGCCCAGCCCGACCTCAGGAGCGGGACAGCCACACGCGCACGGTGCCGGGCTGGAGCCGATCGCCCCTGCCAGCACCCAAAGCCAGCTCAGGTATCGCGGCGTCCCTGGCCAGGTTAATCTGCAGCTCAGACAGGCTGCCCGCAGATAACGGCAGATTGAGCACGCGGACACAGGCTGTTCGACCCACCTTCAACCTGAGAGGACACTGCATGAAAAGCAGAAGGACTGCGCTTGTGGAACTAAGCAGCCGAAAGCCTCCATTTCAAATTGAATTTGTGTTTTACGAAACGCTTGTGAATTGCACAAGGCGTAGGGAGGGGAAAATATCCAAATGAATCACGCTAACTTTGCCTCGTTATAACCTTAACACTATAAATGCACAGATAACCAAATTGGGGGGGAAAAAAAAAAAGAGGAGATGCAACATTGATCCCATGTGTCTGACCCGTCAGTGTATATTCATACAAGATCAACACATTTCATTCTGTTAGACAGATGAATTTTCTCACCCCCATTTCCCATTCTTTCGTTGACCTGCCCTACCATTCATGTACAAAAGACTGCAGATCTCTCCTGCTCATGGCATCATGCTGGAGACTGGGAACACCAGACCCACTTCTGTCTCTGAGGCACACAGGTGCTCTGGGAAGTTCTGCACAGAAGCTTTATCATTTTACCTATTTCTGTAATAATAATATTGTAAAACGTCAGTCTGTTTTAGGGCTTCCCAGCAAGATCAGAAAACAAAGACAGGCTAGTTACTAAATCCTTTTACTATCAGGGATAGAATTACTTCAAGAGACAGCAACACTGTGAGGAAAGGGCATGTGAAAAATTGAGCAAGTTGGGCAAATATCCTATTCCAAACCAGCATTTACTCACGGGGGAAAACAAATAACAGATTTTGAACTGTCATCATAAAGCTCCAAAGGCCACTAGACAGATCTGTGCAACTGATGAGGTCCTAAATTTGCATAAGTGTAAAATTTTTTGGCGGAGAGAACCATGAGAATATCCCTGCCCATTAGAAAAAAACCCCGATATATGACAAAACTTCACATAAGCATATGGTTTTCAATGAGACCAAATTACATTGTTCCCATACTGATACTTTCAGAAGAACAGGGCATGTTAAAAAAAAAAGGGGGGGGGGGGGCAATCTGTGAGAGAAACGTTGATAACTAAAGAAGTTTGGAGGAGTATGATACATGCCAGTCACAAAGTATACAGACACTCCCCAGCCCCGTCAACAGTTTCTTCCGAAGGAAGCCAAGCTTTCAGTAGAATGACAGAAAAGAGCCACGAATTACCACGCGTACAGGTCCGTGGCTACATTCCCCCCAGGCTGCCTCCTCCTCTGCACAAGGAGGCGATCGCAGCCTTCGCAGCCGCCCCTCTGCTGCTTGAGAGCTGTTCTGTAAATACCTTTAAGGGACACAGGTTTGGGGGGAATTCGATAACTCAAAATGCACAAAGAATTACTATCTGGAGACAATTCAGAGAGAGACAGACTCTTCCCTTGGAAGATAAAGCTACTGGCTGGGTGCCTATACTGAGCTATATTTAACACGCGTGCACAACTCAAAAAGCAGCATCACTGAGGATTCGGAGACAACTGACACCAGGCAACAGAGTCTCTTTCTAACCGTTTAGAAAGGAGGTGCCAAATAATAACGCAAAATTAATAAAAAACTATTTGATATTTAAGGATAGTACACTGAAATCAATGCAAGGTTTCAAGCCGATGCTGTTAAGCCGCAACGGAAGAGAATTCCAAACTGCATTGAGATGTTCCAAGGTACCACCCAACAGTTGTCCTCAAGCTCGTTGCTCTTCCATGCCTTAAACCCAACAACCTCTGCCCCATCCCTAAGTCTCTCAGGTGGCAGTTCAGCAGTTTCAAATGCCCCAAACTTGCTACGGGCATGGGTTGGAGCAGAGCACGGGCAAGGAACGGGAGGAGAAAAGCGCTTTTCGGCAGCAGCTGAGCTCTCACCTGTTGGCCGGCCAGCGCCGGCTGCGGCTGCCCCAGCTGCAGGGAGGAGACGGTGGTGGGCTGGACGACGGGGAATGGCATGGCCGGCTCCTGGTAGTGCTGGGGCCGCTGGGAGACCACCGCCGGCGCAGCCTGAACCGCGGGGAGGCCAGGCTGCGGGAGGGAGAGCACTGCTTTAGAGGAGAGCAACCCGCGCGTTAAGAGCCTCTGCGACTCTTCATCAAGAAAAGAATTGCAAGTAAACAGTCTACTCGGTACTTGGTTCAAAACAGAGGGGGGGAAATCAAAAAAAAAGAAAAATTATCTGCAAGGAATGGAAAGTTATTTAATCTAAAAATGTGGGAAAAAGTCAGAAAATTCCAAATAAAACAACAAACTGCATTGCATTTCTTTCTGGAAGCAAGCGTGCAGAGCAGTAAAACTACTGAAAGCGCATACACAGTGACTGAGAATATACCAACAGCAACAACAAGGTGTTAAGTGGGTGAAACAGAAATTTATCTTTACAGAGATTTTTATAATTTCATAAAGAATCTTTATCTTCCAAAAAAGCAGGTAATTTACTTGAAACAGATGCTAAGAAAACATATAGAGATATGAGAACCAAATGAAAACCACAGGGGAAGTGGAAACAAAAAAAAAGGGGGAAATTCAGATAAGGTTTGTAACAGCAGCAGTTCTCTAAAACTTCAGCTCAAACAAAGTAGATAAATTAAAAATAAACAGAATGTCAGACTGAGGCTCATAAGCCTAAAGAAAACCCCAAACTAATACAGCTCCAGTTATGTGCTTATTATCTTGGTAAATAATCTCCCAGATAAATAGTGAATTTTTTTTTTTTCCTTGGAAAATGGAAGGTTTTGAGTCAGACTTTTGTTTCCTGTGCTGAGATTTTCAAACCTTGGAACTTTTTACCCAAGTTATTGCAGGAAGAAAAAACTATGGAAACCCCATCAGAAAATAAAAACCTATGAGAAATATTTTGCTCATGAATAAAAGGTTATGATCTTTCCAAACCCTCAATCACAAAAAAGAAGTAATGCATTTAGGTTAAAGTTACTGAAACCTATCAATGGAAAGAATGAGTCTGCTCTAAAAGAGTATGCTGTACAGCTCAATTTAATAAAAAAAAAAATTAGTTAGTGCTTCAGGTGAACAAGAAACGAGGAAGGATGTATCCCAGGAGACGTATGCACATAGGAAAGGTGGTTTCCACAGTGGAGGGAGCTGGCTACAGATGCCAAGGATGAATTTTTTTCCTTCAGGTAAATGGAGTCATGTTTCAATGCATTCACAAAATACAGTTCCTAATTTCTTGCAGGCATTTTGGAAAATACAAGGTAAAACCAGGGAAAATGATGTGCTTCCCAAGTACACAGGGTAAATCTGGATCGAGCAGGAAAAAACCGTTGGTCCTGGATTTTATTTTTTCTTCTCTGAAGTCAAATAGGATGAAACAAAAAAAATTATCCTACCACATCATCACTGTCATTTTTACTAGGCAGGTTGCTTCCACTGCTCGGGGTAGCTGCAGTGACCAGCTTGCTCTCTGCCAGCGGTGTTCTGCCAGCGCAGACTTTACAACAGGGATGGGACCATCCAGGCACGTTGGCTTCTCTGCCATCGGAGGGTTCAGAAGGCAAAATGTTTTCTGTAACTCTTGCAGATCTCATGGGAGAAGTACCGGTCTTTTGGCTAATTATGTATTGTAAAGATTCATGTAACAGAGGCAGGTCTAAACTTCTGCCGCATGGCCTGCTTGTTTAGGGAAGAGGTTGAGACACCAAGTTTTCTGGGAGCTGGCCACCTGGGGAGCGAGCACTTTCAACAAGCATCAGGACTTCTGATGCGTTTTGATTTTGGCCAGACTGAAATAAGGAGGCTAGGCATGTCTGATGAGACTGCTGAGGAAGCCTTAGCTCTGTAGGGTTTGCAGAGGTCCCCAGTGCCACCAGAAGCGATGACGAGCCTGCCACCTCCTCTCTAGTCTGCCCATACGTGTCTTCTTCACCCAGGTCTTGGGGAAAGGACGTTGGTTTTGGAGTCAAAGCCACGACAGGGTCGCTGTGGCGGCGAAAAGCAGCGTGAGCGCTGCCTGTCCTGTGGGCTGGGTGCAAGCTGGAGCTGGAACACCGTGCTGCCACAGCTTCTGAAGTTCGTGTTGTACCTCTCACTGGAAGCACCTGAAGATTTATGTTCGCTTGCATATGTTTGTTCTTGCACCAGTAGTTCCATTAATTGCTTTTGGTCAAGGTCATAACGGCACAAAAACGGGAGCAAGTGTGAACGTCTGACTGGGCTACCAGCACCTGATTTTGGAGCCTCAGTAATGGATATACATCGCTGACTCTGTGCAAGATTAAATCCAAACCCAGAGCCAGAAAGGCAGGGACTGGATGCGTGACCTTTGTCACAGCTGGAAGAAACATCAGACCCAAAAGAGTCTTGAACAAACAAAGGAATAATAATGTGTGGCTATACTAACAGCGAACAAAAACAAACAGAAGAGTTCTCAACTACATGCATGAGTTTAAAACCAATAATTGCAAAGCTACTAATGTAGTTCAGCAACAATGGACTGATAAGAAGCTTTTTTACTGAAAGTATGACAGCTGCCAGTGAAGCACTTCTTCAGAATGGCAAATCTAGCTAGCCATACACCATCTAAGCGCATGTTTCAGATCAACTAGAAACGTATTACTAAGCGAGTCACCATCGATAGAGGTGACTGAGGAATATATAAAGCAAGCCCTGGAATCCGTACGTGCTGAAAACAAGAGTATAAATGAGCCATTAAGTATGATCTGGGATACAAAATTATTTCGAAACGCTTTAGACTTACTCCTGAGGGCTGCTGGTAGTGCCCCAGCTGCTGAAGGCTATGGGGCACAGCCTGGCTCTCGCTCAGAGGTGGGCTGTACACCCGCTGGATAGCAGGAGGGACTGGATCAGGCAGAGACGAGTAGATGACACTTTGCTGGCTGCTTTGGGAGTCTGAATAAACAGTGGACCCCTGGCCACTGTCAAATGTGCTGTCGGCTGAAAGAACAGCATTTTTTTATTAGAAGCTCAACAACTCCAAACATTCAAGTAATGATTTTAGAGCAAGGTCAACACTGGCTTATGTAATTAGCATTTTTACTAACCTAGTCCTTTCCATTATATAAATAAATTATACAACACAAATGTTATTTTCCACAAAAGGCACACACTGCTTCTCTTAAGCCAAAAACCATCCCCACGGATTTCTCTGCATGATGGTATTTTAGGCACATTGATATTTCCTTTAAAGGGCATAAGGTTGACATTAAGAATTGCAGATGTTTATAGATTTTGTAGGATGAAAGGAAACCCCAATTGTAACGTTCATAGCAGATCATAGAGTCTTTTAGGGTCAGATCTCCCAGAAATGCACTGACTTTGACAACATCTTTTATTAGCAGCACTGAAAATTACAAATTTCTTTATATTGTATGCATTATTAGTTCCGCAACTCATACCCTACTTGAGTATGTAGCAATATCTCAAGATGAAGAACAGATAACAAAAAATTTGCAGGTCTGCAGTGATTTAGGAGTACCATTTAGAGCTCTGTCAGAGTTTCTCATGCAGAGTGTTTGTCCAGCTACCTGCAGAATTGCACAGCTACAGGTACTGGGCAAGTATCATATGTTTTGTCCAATGGAAATAAAACTGTACCATTGAGTATTACTGATTTAAAAATGCCTTTTCACAAATTTTGAAGCCTGTAAAGTACAGGTACCCAGTTCTTCTTGAGCATAAGCTACTGTTTTCTTCAGCTGAGAAATGAAATGAGACAATCAAGACTGTAGTTGTAAGTACCCAAAAGACAAAGAGCTTGTAACAGAGATTTAAAATTCAAAACTGAAAGAAAACTGTAAACAGTTACAAAAAACCAGCTTGAATTACAGTTAAGTTTAAATGCTATTTCTTTTTCTGACACATTCCATCTTCTCTTTTTTCCATATTCCAAATAAGGTTTTACTTATTTGGCTTTTAAATAACAAATTATTTTTTAATAGCACCTGAGATGACATTCTCCTCAGTACTCGCAAACTATTCTCCCAACTGTTTTTTTGCAAAACTGAACTCCCCTCTATATTTATTCAGCTCATTTCTAAAAAGAATCAACATGGCCCTACTCTAGAGAAGGCAGGGATTTGTGCCACATATACACTTCCATTTTATTACAAACGATTATTCAAGACCTCAAAGGAGGGGGGAAAAAAAAAAAAGAAAGAGTATGATGGTAGAGTGCTAAAGTAAAAGCTGTGAGTCAGTCTCAGATTTTTACAGAACAACATGCATTACACACATTAAGTTATTAATTTAGGTTTTTATATTTGACCTCAGATTATATGAATTAGTAGAACACTAATTTATAGAGGTCTTAAGGCTAACATCACTAAGAAAACGTTCGAAGACATCTGATAGTGAATTGTCAAATAATACCAAGTATTGGTTAAAAGTTGAGGAGGAGTAGGAAACAAACTGTGGGGTTTATATTTAGTATAAAATTCTGCCAACTCATGTCCAAGAGAACCATGGGAAGCACAAGTAGCCTCATCGTACCATTGGAAATGAAGAGAGTCATAATGACGGTGTTTCTCAAAGGAATTAGATAGCATTAAGTAAGTATATGATCCAAAAAAATGAAATTAGATCAATTTAGGTTCATAAAAAAAGCTTTGTAAATACTGCAGTATTCTAAGTGTTATGCAAATATGGCCATTTCTCATATCTTGTAAAGGTTTGTTTTCTTCTAGAGGCATGCTTGGTTATTTTAGTATTCAAAGCAGGCTTCTGTATAGCAATTTATACAATACATGAATTAAAGCAGCAGCTGTCTCTTTGCTAAAGATAATACATCTTTAATTTAAATATGCTTATATAAAAGTCCAGAACAGTAAAACAGAAACATTATGATAATGGTTTAGTAGCAAAATACATATATCAGATTTTATCAGAAAAACTGGCTAGAAAAAAAAGGCACTCCCATAAAATTTCAAATCTTCCCAGCTAAAAATATCTGGCAACATTTCCTTCAAGATGTCTAAAAGTATAGATAAGATTTCAAGACCAGAGCTTGACTTGGTAACAAAGGTTGATTTTAGGGGACAGAGACAGGGATATGTTACTTTAGGGAAATAAAACCACTACTTCCTCATGCCTTGCTGTTTGCTGGAGAGAAGTCTGATGCTCAGAAATAAAACAAAGAAACAACAAGCTCTGCAAGCAAAGACAGGTAGTTTCTTATTCAGAGATAGACTAAAATCAGTGCTTGAAATTAAAATAGGAGACATAAATCCAGCTGCCTTGAAATAGCCCAGCGATCACTCTTGAATCAGCCCCCAGCTGAATGTAAAGAGTTGGCACATCATCGGCTTGTAGCTAGCAGGGCCTGGACAAACAAGAGCAACCACCTACTCTGCCCTGCCATAACGAAGATCAAACAACCCCCTTGCTTCAATGCCATGAGGTCAGGACAAAATCGAGAGCCTGGAGGAACAGAGAGAGCACCTGCATCACGACCTAAGGACCCCAGTAACAACTGCAGTGTCAACCCACAGGGTCTGGTGCTCTCAGTGTGTGTGACCGAACCACAGTTGATATTTCCCACGAAACAGGGAAATCTTGAATTACATCATGTAACATTCAGAGATGGATTTTTTTTTTTTCCTGTTGTAGACCTTTGCACAAATTTCACAAAAAACTTCACACAAGCCATCAAGACTTGACTCGCAAAACACAAGAAACTGCAGCACTTTGGTTTCAGCAAGGTCTGCTTTTGAATAAACATCTCCACATTGCCAACATCATTTGAATAAGCCACCAGTTGCTCTGACCACTTTGGTGCCAATTCAACTTCTGCAGGCTCTGAAATTGTGTTTCACACAAACTTAGTGTTGATCCCACCACCTGGCACAGAAAACACGTATTTTTTGTGTCTAGCAGCAGGTCTGCTTGCTTTTCCATTTACAAATATATTATGTTTCCTGCATTTATTGCTACTGAAGGAGGAGCTATCTCTATTTTCAATTTTTCTTGAAGCTTTATTTCTTTCAAAATTGTTATGCATCTGAGACACTTGTGTTCTTTGACCTACTGTGCAAAAACATGCACAGCAGCTCATCTCACTGCTGAGCTCAGATTATATTATACTATATTATTATTTACCCTCTGACATTCATCACTGTGTGCTCACAAAACCAACATGAGACTTACATGCAACAGACGTGACGCTGGTGGGCAGGTTTTGCTGAAAGGGATGCTGGTCCGCCTCAGGCTCCTCCGACTCCGAGAGGACATGGTGACCAGTGTGAGAAAGGTAGGTGACCTGGACCTGCTGTGCATGCGGCGTCTTCAACTTCTCCAGACATTCCGAGTCCCGACGTTCCTCTGACTGCATCCTAGGCCAAATTCTCTCTCTTCTCCATAGTATTAACGCTACTCTGTCACGTATTGACTTCGCAACTATCTTGAGATCATTTTCATGAAAAAATCCAGAGTCAATCTACAGAGGAGGCACAAACTTAGCAAGATTATGTGTGCATGGACGTGCACGCACACGTGTGCACACACACGTATTACTCGAATCTCTTCCTAACAGAGAAAACAACAGTTTGAAATAACATGAATTACAAATTTATTCCTCACAGGAACAGGAACTCAGGAGCTTGATGGGGGCTTTTCTGAAGAAAAATTCTATCCGTAATGCATTTTAAAACAATAATATGTATTTCTAAGACATGAATATATATTGGGTCAATTTGTTCACCAGTTAACATCCATTGAGAAGAAGAGAGCAAGTTTAACTGCAGATAGGTTCCCTTTTTTTTTTGGTTTGTTTGGAAAGACTAACAGAATAGTCAAAAGAGGAAAAAACCACCTTTGAAAAGTGTTCTCTGAGGAATGCAACTGGAGTAAACCATACTACCCCTAAATCAGAATTTATTGCCTTAACCTTTCCAGTATACACAGTGTCCCAAATTGCTGTGCTTGATATCACAAGTCATGAAGGAAAAGATGTTAACAGAATTTTGTCCCAAATTAACTTCTCTTAAATGGTAATGTCAGTCAGTACTGATTGACTTTTTATAAAGAAAAAGCCTATCGAGTCAAATGCAGACTGTTCACATTTAACTGAAAAGGGGACCAGACTTTCCCAGAATTCAACTGCTCAACAGATAAAATGGAAATTCATCTTTGTTCTATTTGTTTGCATAATCTCCTACAGCACAGGGTATGGATTTTAGTTTAATAACGACCCACCAGAGATTCGTCTGCTCTCCCTAGATTCTTAACATGCATATTCTACAGATTTGGAAGCGCTTATATACATGGAGGAAATCTAGAAGTTTTCCTTCTTTGCTCTTGCCCAAACATGAGACAGTTTTACAGCTTAGATTTTTGCTGTTTAAAATTAATAGCTGCAAAGCAGCTTAAAATACTGCTGCAGATGGATATGGGTATTTTCCACTGCCTATGCCCTCAGACCTTACTGACATTCCTGAACCGATGATCCAGCAAATGCTAACGACAGAAGGGAGTTACTCGAGAGAACCACCACATAGGTCCAGAGAACCTTGTACGGTACTAACGTGCCCAGTAGATTCTTCATGACAAAGCTTAATGGGAAGGCACTGAAAACCTGCCACAATAACAATTTTTTTTAAACAGTTCTTATTCCTACATCACTATATAAAGAATGGTTAAAGTTTAATGAAGACATGCTATTTTACAGTACCCGCTGGTTGGGAAAGGTAACTCCAGGTTGCAAACCCACCAGAACGTTTCAAGTTCCTTTTGCCCACCTCGTTTGGACAGGCTGCAATGCCTGACTACTGCAAACCCATCGATAATGATAAATAATTCCCTGTACTCAAAAGGTCTCCTGCATTCTTCTCTTCCACAGCACATAAACCAACACAAATTGATGAAAGCACATGGCTTTGGTGTTCCACAATTCATAAGGGCTAGAAAAAGACATTTAGGAATGAATGTCCCCCTTTGCCCAACCCCCCAACAGACTCAAGTTTGAAAGCATTTCATATGCAGTCACTTAGGTAACTGTTAATGTAATAGTAAAACACAGGTTTTAAAGTTATTTGGGAAAGGGTATAGTATCACAGTAGTTTGGTAGTGATCCTTTTAAATACACTTTTTACAAGAATTATTTCCTCTTCAAAACAAAGTATCACAACTATGGGCCAAGTAACCTACAGAAGTTCAAAATTCCAAATATTTCCATGAATATTTAAAAGCAAAATATAACAGCAAGTAACTGTATCAGAGCAACTTTTAAATGAAATGAGCTCTGTAACAATACATTGCTCGAAAAATATTGGACCTACTGCAAACTAATGACAAGAAGACAGAGGAGCCTGAATTTCTCCCACTAAATTTGGAGTATCTGGTGATGAGTCCAAGCACAGTAAGGCAACATTACCAAAATGAGTGTCTCCTAAGAAGAACAGGAGTGGTGATGACAACATCATTAAATGGGATCCCTTGGGATTTAGATTATAATAGGAACACTTCTGCAAGCGCACGAAAATTCAGACCCTTCACTCGGTGCTTACTGATTCTGTCTCCATGACGTTAGAAAACCTAAACAACTGCAGCGAAGACATCATTAAAATATGAGTTCAAGGACTATATAGTGAAACTGGAACACAGAATAGTTTTCCTAACAAAACCCCGTAAGTTATGAAGATACAGAAATTCACCAAGTTAAACCTATCTGTTAAAAAATCCAAAGCTTATTCCTAACTCCGTGCAGTGGGCTTGAATCTAGTTTCCTATTTATGTTTGGTGATAGAGTAGCTGACCACATACTTTCCTCATCTACATTCCTCCTAAGCAACATCAACAGAAAAGATGGAAAGAAGTGTTTTGAAGAATTCAGTGCAGAATATTTTGTGATTGAACTTTTGAACTCTTCTAATTTATTTCAAGCTGCTGTCTGAAACTAAACAGATTCCAAACAAATTTAAAGACATTCAACAGCTAACAGAAATTGGCAGAAGAGTTTCCAAAATATAAAAGTAGAAAAGACCTCTATGGTTCCTAAGCTATTTGAAATGCCACTTCATGAATCTGTTTTCATACTTGGTAAACAATAGTTTTCAGTTCTTAGTTCTTCCCCATTTACCCCCTTCTTGCAGCATTCATTCTAAAATCAATGCAAACTGTTTAAACTAGACACCTGGAACAGTTTAAGTGGAAGGACCTTTACCAGACTCGTTCCTGCTGTCCTTTGATATTTATGCACTACTTTATATATATACATTTTTGTCAGGAGAAGTTTATTTTACCATTTCTTGTGCAACATCATCAGGAGTTTCCTTCTCCAGATCAAAAGTAAACTCAATGGCTCCATTATCTTTGGGTTTTCCTTTCAGTTTCTTAGGATCTTCTACCCAGAGTCTTAAGGCAATAGAGGATTTCCTACCATGGTCTTCTTCTGCAAGTTCCACTCTTACCCCAGTATCTTCAGCAAAAAAGGCATGGCTTAATAAATCTTTAATTTCGTATCTGCAATGGATATAAAGAATATTCAAATGCTGCAAGAGGTTTGTGACAAGAAACGGCTGTTGAAGGTGAAAACATTTACAGTATGTTTGGTGTTCATCCATAACAAATTTGTCGTCTTAGCAAAAAGACACAGTATTTCCCGTGTTACTGAGGACTGCTGAAAAAATGACGTTTCCTATTTCACAAAGCGTCAGCTATATTCCTACACCATAAGTATGTACAGAAATGCAGATTATAGCTTTGCTCAACTTTCCTTGAGTATCTGAGCCTAAAGAGTACTAAGAAAAGAGGTTCCCTCTAGGTAGTCAGTTGAGGTCCCTAAAAACTCTATTTGTGAAAGTTATGAAATACTGAACAGTAGACACACTCATTTAGGAGAGGCCAGCATAAGAAGATTAGGTTTTAAAACCAAAGCTGGAAACTAGGCACAATTTGTCTCCATATCCAGAAGCTAATGAGTAATGGAATCTGCTACAGCAGCTTGTGGTGAATCTACTACGTCACGTTCGTGGTCGACCTCCACCACACGTGATGCTCCACACAGAACCTCCTGAGTGAGATTTTTACGGACAGCTATGCCAGAATGTGCTAGAACACACTAGCTCACATGTCCACAACGATGCTTTCTGACCTTATTCTTTGAAGCTGAGAGGTTGAGAGACACAACGATGGCATTTATTCAATTATCCTGACATTACATGGCAGGAAAGCAGGCAATCATTCATATTTGCAGTTCCATTCTGCATTTTCTCTTGCACAGGAGAGACCCAGAGGCCAGAACAAAAATCCACAGACAACTTTGAAACACCTGCATACACATTATTTAATACAAAACTTGATTAATTGAAACAAACCTTTCTTCTTTATTTTTGCAAATGCACTCCCCAATTATCTCCTTGATTTCAGGATCAGTAACTTTCTCAAAGCTTGCTGGCTTTATACCCTAAAAGGACACAGAAAAACAATTCAGTCTGAAAAAGAATTACATTATAGCTCTTCATTAAGGACATTTTTCTTACATTTTACAGTCCATTCAACCCTTGGACTAACTAATACTTTGAAGTTGTTAGTCTTAATGCAAAATTGAGCTGAAAATTTAGGGCTACCGTATTTCTAAGTACCATTGCACTTCAAAATAAGCATACTAGTTTGTACATGAACTCAGCCATACATAGGGCAAATCTCCCTTTTTCTTTACTAACCTTTGCAAACCTTACCTTTATATCCTGTGACTCTGAAGGCAATAGTCAAGAAACAGCCAATTTTCAATTTGCAAAATAACTCTTTTCTGAAATTATTCCTTTTATGTTTTTTGCCTTAACTCTCAAAACACTAAATGAATAAAGACAAATAATCGGGTTTTTCTTCAGGCAGCCAGCTTCACAAATGAGTCAAAAATACCTTGAAATATTCCTGTTTCCCATAAATCTTCTGCTTTTCTATGTCTCCAACACTCTCCAATACCCCGCTCCCCCAACAAAGCCCCCAAACCAACCCCAAAACCAAGCAGGGGAGCAGGAGAATATGCCCAACAGCTCTGTGTTGGTCTTGCATTTCCCCTGCGCATTGTTAGACTCTCATCGGGAATGAGTGGCAGAGCAGGTGTAACCTATAAATCAAGTTAAATCTCTGTCAAATGTTAACATTTTTGCTGGGAAAAGTGCTCAGTTCTAGATGTGGAACAGCTAACCTATGAGCATGGCCTTTCAAGGAGAAAACCCAACTGTTCATTGCAGAAGAAAACATAGAGAAGCGGAATCCGCTTCTCCACACAGAGAGCTCTGGCTCGACGTAGGTGCAACAAGAACAGTTTGCATTTCTTTCAGGTTAGGTGGGGTAGGGCAGTCATAGGTCCTCTCTCCCTGCTTTCTAATATTTCAGGACCAATATCTTAACTCCGCATGATCCTCCTCAGGGTATGTAGCCTCTTAATTAAAATAACATATATCTTTACCAACAGTTTATATATTATATCATCTTTCTGTACATGTAATCAAAATAAACTAAAAAACTAATTACCAGGAACACCCGGGCAGTTAACACATGCAGCTGTGCATTTTCAAAGCCCAGGCTGACCATTTCTACTGATGCCAGGCTGCAGACGGGGAGGAAGGGATGTTCCCGTAGGAACAGCCATCACTCCCAGTGAGCCACCCTACTGCTCTCCTTGTCAAACGATGTAGCAGCAACTAACAGATACCCAATATCTGTAACGCTGGTAACTCATGCCATTCCATTCAACAGAAGATTTCCTCTGAATACTTTTCATGTATATATTCAGCTATAGATGACAAGAGTGGCAACGCAAGAAGTTATCCTTTTTTTTTTGCGATGTTCAGCTTCAATCACAAAAAAACCTGATTCTGTTTTAAAATCACGTAACATCTCCACCTACTAAACCAAGATGGATATGGACGAAAATTTCACAAAATTAATTTGGGAACAGATTCTGCAGTTAGACCCTATTACTTAAGGACCCAAGTATTTCCAATGAAGTCAATAAGCAGAATAAAAAGGAAACATGATATCCTTTATCTAAAAAAAAACCCCAGAATCTGATTAAGTACATAACTGAATGGGATTTGGACATTTAACTCCATTCAAATCCTTTTAAAGTTTCACCCTGAAAGAACAGTAAATAATGGATCATGCAGTGGCAGATAAGGAGACCTGAAGAGTGGACTTTTGGCTCACCTGATGCTGCCTTGGATAAGAAAAAAAAAAAAAAGGGGTTTCAGAAAGTGTCTGCAAGTACTTCATTGAATTTAGTGTTGAATAAATTTTATGGATGAATTTCAGCAAAGGCTGGCACCTCTCTGAGAATTTCTGAGTATTCCAACATCAGATTATACTTTTATCTTTTTATTAACATTCTGTTGCCATTCAAGCCTCAGATTCAACTTTAAACTTGGATCTATTTATTTATTTCAGGTCAACCACTCCCTTTTTGTCTTAAAACTTGAGAGTGAAATATGTAATTCATAGATTTTGGGGAGGGGAAGACAGAATAGTCATACAAAGACTCAGCTTCCCAGTTTTGCCTAGGCAGAGAGCTGCTGAGATCCAAATAAACCTTTCTTGTGGGAACAAAACAAAATAATCCGTACATCTGGCTGGCTGGCTGTGACCTACTAAAAAGAATTATTTGCTTAAGCAACCTACATCTTACTTATGAGATGAGGGTTCAAATTTTGTATATTAGAAAAATGTGTCCAAATGGTAGGGAGTGCCTAGCCTACCAAAGCCCAGGCTTGCTCAAAACAAGCAAAAGCACAGCACAGTGTGTCAAAGAGTGTTTCTTGAGAGAGCTCTGATACCTGGGTTAGAAATGGAAGAAAACAAAGAAGTACCAAAAAACATATTTAGCATGAATCCTCTATACCCTAATACACCCTAAAGCTACAGGAGCCTATCATGCTCTCAGATGGGGAGGAATTTGAAGAAATCTTCAGTAATTCACAATGGAAAGCAATAGGACAAATCTCTCCATTTTCAAACACTCCAGTTTGCTACAGGAAACCATTGATTTCTATCTTAGTGTCACTTGTCAGGAAGAATGGGTAATAAAGACCATCATCTGCTATAGCTTAATGTTTACTGAAAAATATCCCACAAACATGAATCGGTATCAATTTAACTAAGGGAAGAAAAAAAAAACCCCAACCCCCCTGCAAAACACCAACACCCCCCCCCCCCCACCCCA